TCACGTGACGTGTGACGTATGAGGATGAAGATCGGCTTTAGAGCTGAGATGTTTGTTCTCACGGTGTGGGGGCTCGTCCGACGCCCACACAGTAAAAACATGCAAATGACGACTTTAGTCGTCAATGGCAGTGAATGAGTTAATGTCTTGTTTACACTCCAGGATGGTAGGATGGAGCAAGAGATGGACTAACAAACCAGGCAAGATGTGGAGTTGGTCTGACAGTGACCCGGATGGATCAGTCTATTTTTTATCCCACTTTATTCTATTATCCTTTTGTAGCACTATGACAGGTAGTCACAGAACCAAGTTGGATGGTGTGTGTAGGAGCCATTGCTGCTGGAGGATGCCTCTGATGACTGTGTTAGTAGTATACCAAAAGATTTGAATTGGAAATGTGAGGGAAATGTTCTGTGTGGTGCTGCATGTCAATGCTGCTTCTTTATAAGCCACGCTTCAATGGTTCTGTATCGGTGGCTTCATTATGTAAGCACAGTTCATCACAGACTTTGTGAATGGGCAGATTTAACGTGAAAGTGGAAACAGCAATAAAAAATATCCTCATTATTCAGAAGCTTTAAGAGGTTTAAAAATTTCTATCTTAACTTACTGTGACTAAACTTTTACAGCCTGGAGGCATTTTTTAAACTCTAAGACTGTAACGTTTCGTCTCATGTCATCTTACGAGCAAAACTCCACTGTGAAGTCTATTAAAACTGGTCTTCGATTATTCCTCCTGATATTTTACACTTGGTCATTTAAAGGTGATGTTCTATCAGTTATTTATCCACCATAAAGACCCTACCGGTCATTGACATCTTTCTAAGTGAGTAGAATGTCTAGGAGTGGGGAAAAGTCCTGTGAAAAAGTGGCCTGTAAATGGCCTGTAAGTTGATATAGCGCCTTCTAGAGTCCTGGAACCCCCCAAGGCGCTTTACAACACAATCAGTCATTCACCTATTCACACACACATTTGCACGCTGGTGGGGATGAGCTACGATGTAGTCACAGCTGCCCTGGGGCGCAGTGACAGAGGCGAGGCTGCCGAGCACAGGCGCCACCGGTCCCTCCGACCACCACCAGCAGGCAAGGGGGGTTAAAGAGCAAGTCACCCCCAAATCACCTTTTTTTTGCTGATAAACGAAATAAACGAGTGTCTAATCGTGCTGTAGACACGTGTCGTCAATAATTTGGCATTTCAGTGCATCTTAGTTAAAATTTAAATATTCTGCCTAAAACTGGCAGTGTTGTGCCGTTGACAGGTAAAAACTCTGCACTGTATTTTAATTTAAATCTGCCATCGCTATTGGCTAAGAGGTATGCTATGATGTAAACTGGTACATTATGATGTCACAATGCTGTCGTGAGCCTGTGTGTGTATTTGTTAGCAGCTCCGCCTTCTCGGTCTGCCAGGCAACAGCATTTGTTGCATTTTTCAAACAGGAAGTGAGAGTGGAGTTAGACTCTGGTAGGGGTTGACTTGCTCTTTAAGTGTCATAGCTCATGGCTAGCCAGCTAGGTAACAAACTCGTGGTGTTTCACACAACCCTTGTTAAAATGAGTCGTAACAATGCATTTGTAAACCCTCTTAATAGATTTCAAAACAAAATAAAGATAAATATGTGAAATGATAAATATGCATCATTTGATCAGATATTAGCTAAAATGGTAAAAATGTATCATAATAAATACATAAAAAATTTACTTAAGTAATTCATGTTGACATTTTATTTTGAAATGCCACAGCTGTGAGCTATTGGGAGCCCAAGTCTCCCCCTTTTCCGGTCAGCTCATGGGTCCTCTAATTATGGGTGTTTCGACCACGCCAGTCACGTACTTTGAGATTTATCAGCTTGTAAATGTGCGTAATTAGCACAACTACAACTTAGACTTAGACATCGCATATATGACATCACTACAGAATCTCCTCTCACCTGGCGTAGCTGCTACTTACCAAATAGCCAGATTTATGGTTGTTTTCCTCCTGGAGGAAGGATTTTAAGTTCCCTAAGCTTACTGCCATTTTCCCTGTGTTTTTCTCCGTGTCTGGTTCGATGACGTCGATTTCATGATGAGCATTTGTAGTCCTGGACTTATTTTCACTCAAAACCTGACATAACGTTTCCTCCCGTTCGAAAATAATCACTCTCTTGGTATCAAAATGCGTTTTTAAAATTCACGGACATCATATGTGAAATCCACGGGATTAGAAAATAAGATTTTTAGCCCCACTGACTTGCATTAATTATTTTGTTCTTCCGGGGACCCATGGTCCGGAAGTAGATGGGCGTGACTCAGACTTCCTATAGTCAATAAAAAATATTCAAAACGTTTTCTGAGGAAGCCCCGCCCCTAACAGTCGAAGTTTCGACAGACAGCAGAAGTGGCAGCAACCATTATTAGTTCAATGAAACGGTCGACATAAGAAAACTTGTAACCTGGCTGGTTTGGAGGAGTACACTATTGAGTTTATTAGCATTGGGAGAACATTGTGGTGAGTTATTTTGTGAATGATAATGTTCATTTTACCTAACGTTACTACCAAACTAACGGGTTTAATTTTCCATATAGTTTTTTGCTGCGTAACGACTCAATTAACCTCTGCCCCAGACGGTAAACTACCGATACACGACAGAAAACGGTAAACCACTGTAAAATAAGCTTTTATTTTCCACTATAATGATCGCTGTGTATATTATTTAAAAATTGGTGATTCATTTTATGCTAAATGAAGTTTTATTTTTGTGTAACTGAAAGTGATTATCGGTCAAACTTGATGGTTACTAGCTTATGTTCACTGCTAGTCAAGTTGCCTCTGCAGCCATGTAAACAGGCTGATTTATGTTTAATGTTTGGTGTAAATAATATTTTATGCTAAATGGAACTACTTACCACAAGGTGAGATCCATAGTCGTTCTTTCCTCCTGAATGAAGGGTGGCTCCTCTTTTTTTTTCTCTGTTTCTGGTTCAATGATGTCAATTAGGTGATGCTCATTTGTAGTCCTGGACATCTTTTAACAAAAAACCTGAAATAACTTTTGCCCTGTTTGAAAAGAAGCCCTCATTTGACATCTGAATGTGTATTTAAAATTCATGGATATCATATGTGAAATCCATGAAATATTACCAACGGGATTAGAAAATAGCATTTTTAGCCCCATTGACTTGCATTCATTTTTTTTTCTTCCGTTCCGGGGACCCGTGGTCCGGAAGTAGATGGCTGTGACTTAGGCTCATGCATAGGAACAATTTTATGCATTGTTGGTAATATATCACAATTTATAGTTTTCTTTTGTTTATACATGTGTCAGTTACTGTTTTTGAACATTCTCACATACCAGATGAATTGCAGAACAAATTGTTCTAAAAATTATAGAATTCCACTTAAATTACATTTAATGTTCAAAACGTATTTAAATAATCACAATATATCCCATATAGTTTTTACGTTAAGGTTCTTTTTCCTAAAAAACTGAACAAATACGTTTTCATAAAATAAGTAAAGATGAAGATAATTTAAATAAAAAACAAGTTAAATGCGATAAAAACACACAATTCTGATTTTTCTGAACTTACAAAAAAAAACATTTAGTTCTGCTCTCCTGATTCATTTATGAATTTTTCATGCAGTTCTTTTTTTCATAGAAGCTAAGTTTTGCTTTAGGAGTGAATAACCACAGGTAAAATGATGCTCTGCAGCTTTTTGTGTCAATAATATCACATGGGTGGGGGTTGTCACTGGAAGACGAGATGAACGGCTCTCTACAGGGACTCGGCTCTCATGGTTCACTTTGAAAATGCGTGCAAAAGATTTGATTCGTTCATGAACGTCACATCAATCATTTCTACATGAACCCGAATAGCTAGTATCATATGGTATGAACCACGATTAGGACTACAGGTTAAACTCTAAAAGTTAGATTAAGGTGAAAAAGTTAATTAATGTCAATGCTTCGATATTTGGTGTAAATAATATTTTACAGACTCATATTATTGTCGAGATGAGTCGTAAGCTTGGAACTTTGGCTGAGACTCATGCACTGGCACAAAAGATGGATGCAATCAAGGAGCGAGTGGACTAATCAGCACGGATTGGGATAGATTAAGTACGCCATTGGTGGATGTTGAGAGGTTGAGGACCAGCGGAACTTTAAGACAGAGAAGAAATTATCTGTCTGGCCCCAAAACAATTTCTTATCTGAATCTGGTGCCCTTGAGCCTGTGCAGAGAGAGACATTTCAAGCTTTATTTGCTATAATTGTGATGATTATGGTTTACAGCTTCTGAAAACCCCAAATTCAAAATCTCAGACATTTAGATTATTGTGAACAGTTTCAATATTCTAGACTCAAAGTGTCACACTCTAATCAGCTGATGAACCCAAAACACCTGCAGAGGGTGTCAGAGCCTAAAGTGAGAAGCTGAAAGAGAAGATCTACTATATGCACCAGAATAGACGCCCAATCAGGAAGACTGAGAGATGAAAGGCTGGTTTATTTGAAAAAAAAAAAACAAACGCGATATTTAACAAGCATTAACAATTTTAGACGGTCACATGTTCTTGTACATCATTCTCCTAGCTTTGGATGAAGACCGACAGCACCACAGTGTGACAAGAGAAAGTTTTAAAAGGAGAGTGAGTTCTGATCTCCACCAAATGGACCACACAGTTGTCCACAGCAAGATCCATAAAAACTAACTAGCAAATTCTCAGCAGGTAGATATTCACCAACCACCTATTACCACACACACACACACACACACACACTGAGAAGCGTCCAGAGGACATGGATAGGGGTCCTCCCTGCTAAGTAGCAGGGGAGGTGGTGGCTACCACACTGCCTCATTGATTTATCCAACAGCTTGATCCTGTTAAAACCCCAGCTGTCTCTGTCAACACACACACACACACACACACACACACACACACACACACACACACACACGGTCTGTCTCTTGTTGATATTCTGCCAACTGCTGCTTCTGTCACTCTAACCCATCTATTTGGCACTTGGCCAAGTGCCAGCGAGCGGTGAGTGTCTGCATGCGCTTTTTAAAGTTTTCTTTATTTTAAGAACAGAAATACATCTTGGCCTTCAAGCTGCAATGGCAAATTTGCAAACAAGCTAGGCTTTCAATGTAAACACGATTATGGACCACTCACGCCTTTCCTTCAGTACCTGCCCTGAAACGCTTCTGCTGGAACCGGAAACCCACACTGCCAGAGGAAACAAGGTAGCGCTAAACACCAGTCGTGTTACCTGTGACTTCAAATGGTGTGCTCTTTATATTATTGAGCGGAGAACCTCTCACACCAGTGGTGTTCTGTTGCTAAAAGCGTGAGTGTGTAATGAGTGGACCCAAGGACGTGCAGAAGTGCTGCGGTTTGGTGAGACCGTCAGCCGGATGGTCCAATAGTAGTTTTCGGTCCGAAACATGTTATTGGTGGAGGTGCCAGATTTATATTTGTTTTATGCTGAATGTGTTTACCACGGTTGCACTGGAACATGAGGGCTCCACTGACGAATCATATGAGCTGATGGCCACTGTGTTGGAGGCTCAGTTCTGTTCCTCTTTCCTCCTTTTTGTTATTTACATGTTTCTTCATTTTCCTACTTGAAGCTGTTTATTGAGGCTTGAGCAGCAGCCATGCAGAAACACCCTGCCTGCATCCGCCCACAGGGAATATGCAATCAGCAAATATTATGAAATATGATCGTGTTAAATATAGAGGCCTGTGGCAATGGTAACCTACAGGAACATTTTCCTCTTCCATATTTAGACGTCAGGTTAGTCCTAATCGTGTTATGAGGATGTGAGATCGCCAAGGTTGCTCAATTATACATTCTTTCCTTCCTTTCGTTCGTTCTGCCACCTCTTTTTCTCTTTCTTCACCTCTACCCCGTCACACAGATTATGCTCTCTCACTCTATTCTCAGCGGAGAGGCAGGAATCACACACTAAGCTTTGAACATGAAAGGAAAAGCTCAAAAACAACAACAAGGACAACAGATCACTGCATGTGTCTTGGAGTGTTTGTGTGTTTCTGCTAACATGAAGGCGTTTTACTCGCTGAGGAATCTTTCCCTCTATCGTGCGTCTGTGCATATTTACGATGTTATTTTGGATGTGTCTGAGCATGTTGGTGGGGGTCTCAGCTTTCATGCTTAGCTTTTGCCTTTATCTGAGCGCGCCTATCAAGGTGCATGTAGATATGAAAGCATTTATGTGTGTTTGTGCAAGAAATCCTTTTTACCGGGTTTACAGACAACCATTTACCAAAAATATCTGCAGCCTAGTGAGGCAGTACATGTCAAACTCAAGTCATTAAAACTTTGGGTGTGCTCAGCAGGCACCTGGAATCAAGTCACAGCGAAACTTTTCAAGTTATTACCAGGTCAAGTTCACAATCCCAGATTAAGTCCAGGGCTGACTTGGTCTTAATGTAAACACCCCTCAGTGTGCATGTGCATGTTTGGAGCAGCAGAGCAGGAAGTGAAGCTACATTAGGAGCTAACCGTTTCACTGCTGTGCGTCGTCTGCAGGCGCGGAACATTTGGCTTTGAGGTAGAACCTCGTAGGCGTGGAGCTGGAATAACAGCCGCGGCGCTGCGCCATGCCTGAGCCTATGTAGGGGAACTTCTGCACCATGATGTCTGTGGTTCACACACAGCCTTCTCAGGAACACAGACGTGTCCGAGCACGTGGGTTGGGCAAAAGGCGTGTGGAGAAGTCCGTGTCGTTGGTAAACAAAGGCAGCTGTGAGCAGTGTTGCTTTTGGAGACTCTGATGTGAAGCACACTGCTTCCTAATGTCTCACTGAGAGTGATGTGAGCTTCTTACACCAGTCTGTCCTCTAGGTAGCGATGGGTACAAAATTCGGTACATTTTAAGGTACCGACCGAATTCCACAGTACCGACTGAGCACCAGTTCACGTCATTTGAAACGGTGCCTCGTTTCGGTACCCGTCCTTCATAACGAGAACTTGCCTAGACAGCTGCGCATGCGCAAGAGCGTTATGTCGTCGGTCGCTGTGAGCCAGTTGTAAACAGAGCAGCATGGTAGAAAGAACGCACGCTAAAGCTTGGGTCCACTTCACTAAATGTGATGGGTAACTGGGTGATGATGAAACCAGCGACAGCGATCTAAGTGAGACGTCCTCATCTTAATCTGCTCTGGTAGGTAAATAAAATGTTTAAGATAACGTTAGCTTGATATGTTAGCTTCCGTTCCGCTAATGGTGCGTTCGCTTTCTCCTCGGAACTCAGAATTCCCGACTAGAAGAACATGAACGCGCTCTAAAGTTTGGCTTCACTTTACTAAATGCGACGGGTGATTGGGTGAAGATGAAACCAGCGACAACGATCTAAGTGTGAGGCATCATCGTTTTAATCTGCTCCAGCAGCTAAATAAACTGTTTAAGATAACGTTAGCTTGATATGTTAGCTTCCATTGCCACTATTGTTATCAGCTAATGGTGTGTTCGCTTTCTCCTCGGAAATTCTAACTTCCCAGTAGGAAAAATCAATTGAAAAAGGACGGCAAAAGGAATGAAGATACACAGTAAATTTAGTTCACAGTAAAGATGTTTGCTTCAGTTTAATTATCAGCTCATAAAACTACAAGGACGATGTTAAAATACAAACAGTTGTATGCTATTTATCGTGATATTTATCAAATATGGTTATATATTGAGAAAAATATATATTTAATTATAAAAGAGAAATAAAATATTAAACACTCAAAAGTATCTAAAATTGGTACCGTTAAGTACCGGTATTGATTCCCAGGTACCGAGAATTAGTACCGAATCGATTCAAATGTCAAAGGTACCCATTCCTACATCTAGGGCTGGGCGGATCGATCTAAGATATCGATAGAATCGATCTAACGTTGGTATTGAGTATTTAATAGATACCTGTGTGATGACATCGATTAAATTTCTTCTAGCCTGACAAGCCATGACGTAGTCACCGCTATAGATGTCGGTCAACGAGGCAGTCCACCAAACTCCATCAAAGATGACGCAAAACACATCCTTTTCCTAAATAAACTGTAGTACTTCTATCTGATCTTGATTCAAACGAAAGCCAAAGTCATTATAGTTCAAAGTTGATGCCAAAGCCGTTTCAAATGAGCGGCGGACGGCCGACTAGTCACGTTTGTTTTGTTTTTTTCCCCAATAACATCCCGCCTACTTAGTGTTGCGATTGGCCCATGAAATCTATAGAGCACTATGATTGACCACTACAGACCGGCAGCCCTCTTGATTTGTAGTTTACCTGGCTGTTACCTGTGATTGGACCGTTTCGGAGCGGTAGCCATGTTTGTTTGCAGGGACATCCCGCCTACCTCGCTGAAAGAGCGCTGTGATTGGCCCAACAAACCATTAAAGCACTGTGACTGGAACACCACAGATGTCAGTCAATGGGGCAGTCCGCCATTACATTAAAAAAGAAGTAAAACAACACGCCAGCACGAGACAAGCACAGAACTGCAGAGATCACTGTTGTGGCTGCGTGATGGCAGACTGGAAATAGAAAAACAATCGAGTTTGTAACTATAAGTGCGGATTACCACCCTCTAAAGAGAAAATTAAGTTTTCTGTAAACCATTTTGAGTTTCCTAATAAAAATTGTATTTGCCTGAAAATGCTTCCTGTATTTGATTATCATCATACATGATTTATTAAAGGAAAACTTACAAAATAATTAAGTAATCAATAAAACTTGAGTTTTCAGACAAGATTTTCATATTGATGATGCATTCTATTAATAAATACAACACAACTAGACAGTACTAGACTAGTAATAAAGTATTGGTATTGGCAATACTGGTCCTGTATTTACTTGGTATCGGATCAATACCACATTTTGCAGTATCGTACAGCACTACTGTCCTCATTCTGAGCAGCAGTCAGAGAAGATATTTACTCCACCTTTTCCAGACTAATAATGAATTGTGCTCGCGGGGAGCCACAGCTGGCTGATTCTACCTGCTAATCAGAGGCTCCCACTAACTTCAGCTGGTCAACTGGGTGTTTTGGGTTGGCTTCGCATAGAGTGGACTACTGGAGAGCAGGTCCAAAAAAAAAAAAAACAATTAAATAAACGGTCAGCCGAGCACGGAACACACAGATTACCCAAATGTAAACACAGTTAACCCACCAGGGACGGGCCATGCCGACCCAGATGTGGGTGCCCTATAAATTATTCTACAGTTACGTATGTTTGTTACATTTTTTGGTAGAAAAGGTGCCAACAATGGCCAAGAAAAAGGTTGAGGAAGAGTGGAAGAAGAGCAGGGTGAAGGAATGGAATGGGCTGCAAAACGAGCCACAGCAGCTCAATTTCTCCTTGATGGGTAAGGTAACATTATGGTTTTATGGGTGTATGACAGGATCTGTTGAGTCTGGCATTCTCCTGTATTCTGAAGATGTGGTGTAGGAAAAGGGGGTCAGACCTTTCAATTGAGTTTATTCAAAATGCAGCAGCCTGAACAGCTTTTTCCACAAACTCCCACCTTTAACAGAAAATCAGAAACTTCATGATGATGGTTTTAGAGTGGACTCACCGTAGGAACAATCTCACATTATAGTTCTGACAGATTTGGTTCATAAAAGAGCCACCCATCAAGTAGTGAGTCAGAACAAAGCTTGATATAAAATGACACTCAGTGAGACGCCACTTAAAACGAGCCACTGAATCAAAGACAACAAACGGTGCACCCGCCGCCAAAGCAGGTAAAACGGGTTTGAAAAAGCCACAAGCCATCATTAAATCTAAATTTGAGTTTGGATCTGAAACTTGGATGTTAAAACTTCCTGTCCTGAAACGACAGACAGAAATGATTAGTCTAAAAATCAGACACCAGTCCATGCATTAGGTAGATGAAAGTAAAAAGAGATGGTGATGTGTGGTTGGAGATCAAACTACTTCAGAGGGAGCAATGAACGCCAGCTCCCATCTGACAGATCCTTTTCAGTTTTTCATGCAGACAATCAGGGTCGATAATCTAAAAGAATTAGGTCGGTGTTGGGTTCTAATGAGCGAGTGTTGAGGTGCAATTGTGCATCAGTTGTATAAATTTGCTGGACCAACGAGGGGACATGGAAGACAGTAGTGTCCAAAAGTTTTGCTAGACTGATTCCAGTTTCTGGTCCCATTGCCAAGCCAATGAACGGGACATTGTTTTTATCAACTGTTGAAAAAAATTTAACAATTCCACTCATATT